CGTCGTAAATATTTGAGAAGAAATCGACTTACATCCGAAAATGCACTAGACCGCGCAAAGTGGAAATGGCTTAACGGAAAAGCGGACTTTAACTGATATAGGGATACGATACGTTTGCCCAGTACCACATAAGCACATATCTAGGGAACAGTGCAACATAATGTTGTCTTAATAGTGTTAACATACAGGGGGTATAGAAATAGCGTTTTTGTCTTGATACCGACATTTTCCTGTCATTTATCATGTGTGTGAGACAAAAACAAATAACAATGCTATTTAATGGCATAAGAATAACAATTGAATTTGTGGAACCCACGTATCATATATTTAGAAATTGGGCTTGTAATAAAAATGCCTACGAAAATTGCTCGCCCGTGGTGGAGGAAAATGAACACGAGTAAAGAGAGGCTGCATTCGGGCTAGCGGAACTGGCACAGCAGTCGGTATCCGGCCTAACAAAAGGGTGATAGCGGTACGTGCGTAAATCAAACGTCGCACAATAACAGCGCCTCCCGCGATCGCCCCATCCCTCCGCCTGCCCTCCTAGCCACGAATCTCCCCGTTCCTCTAACTGGCGGTCGGTTCTCATAAATCTGCCATACTGAATTGTGCCTAGCTGCCGGCTACTCGTGTGACGGACCCCGTCGATATCTATGCCAATAGGTTTTCAATGCCACTGTGTCCGCTGTTTCGATTCAGTTCAAACCAACCGTCCATCAGACTCGCCTTTCTGCTATCTGCCCCCATATAGGGAGACCTTTTTTATGGCCACCCATTAATTTTTCGTAAAAACAGTCCGCATGGCCGGAACAAATTTTTGTCCATTTTAACGTGGTACGTAAAAAAATAATAAATGTTCTTTACGACACGAATACTAAAATGGAGTTTCCACGTATATTACGTTCACAAATGTAACTCTCACAAGTTGCAGCAGTGTGGCAGCCGGCGAAGCATTATGTTTCTCGTTCGGATAGTGCGATACCATCGCACTCCGCTTCATTCGCTGCAATTAACGCTGCACAATGACCATATAAATCTCCCCGGTGCGCTCCGTTCGTTCTGTAGATATTCGAAGGCATGGTCCGTCTTCGTACGTAGTTTATACAGCCACGGCTCTGGTGTTTGATACAATCTATAGCGTAGTCTACTTACAGAAGATAAAGTAAAGTCAATTAATTAGAGTAAATAAGCGTGATTGCGTCAAAGGAAAGAGTTCGGCGCGTTAGCGGCGGTGCGGGTTGAGGGTGCGCTGCCTAATCTTACCTATACGTCTCCAGCCGAAGAACAAACAGCTGAGATTACGCTCCGAATAAATCAATGTTACGACGCGTTAAAATATTTAAGCTCACGATTAATGCTTGGCGGAATGCTCGTCTTATCGAACAAGAGAGCGCGGCTGAGAACGCAGCTGTTGAACCTGCCGATGATCACCGGATTCCACATCGTATTAATCTCGTCAGAAGTTAAAATGCTTCCTGGCTTACAAAATGTTGCGAGGCGATTTTTCATTTTTATATTTACAGGCTTTTCGGTCATAATCGGCTTATATTCTCATTCTTTGCTAATTAATTTGAAGTATTAGTTGTACTCATTTTAAAAATAATTTTCTCTGAAGCGAGTTTGGGTTCACATAAAATAATCAGCTACATGACACGCGACTCAACGCGAATCAATTTATTGTTTTTAATTTTCATATTAAAGCCATGCTCAAATGGGATTGGGCGGGCCACGTTAGCCGGATGCAACCTTTGAAGTGTGCGAACGTCGTCACTCTTTGGGTGCCTGAGGATGAAAAGAGACGGCGTGGACGCCCGAGAAGGCGTTGGCGGGACGACCTTGATGGGTTTGAGAGAGTGGTGGGAGATCAGGGAGCAATGGAGGGTTTTGGGGGAGACCTTTGCTCAGCAGTGGGATATAATAGGTTAATTAAATAATAAAAGAAAAAATCTTTTCATATTATTTCTATTCGACATCTTTACTTTTGAATCGTAGTTTTTAAGTTTAAGACATTTTACAATAGTAAAATAGTGTCGGTACGTATACCGACACATATTTTGTGCCACTTGAAACATAGACTGATCAGATATTCGTAAGACCATAAGTTATACAAGTGAAGGAAAACTGAGTATGTCTGGAGTGCAGCGGGCGGAGGTTATGTGCCTCTGCCTAACATAGAGATATACAGACGTGACAGTATGTATAGACGCAGCCGAAACCGGAAGCTTATCGTAACGCCGTAATGTATCACGAAATTGCCATAGAAGTTTTACAAGGGCTCGTTAGGGGAGCTGTAACGATAACCGCGTGAGATAACTGTTTCTAATCAGACGTAATGACACCGCGGCGCCGCCGCTGCTGCCGCGCCCGCCGCGTTCTCGCGCACACAGAGAGTGTCACAAGAGATTCTTAACAGTACCCGCAATCCGACTTTCCGTCGCAACATCGCTTATCTAATTTCATTAGACGAAGCACACACACGTATTCTAATAGAAAACGAGAGCGTATATAACATTACAAAATTATGTCAAGACGGATCGGGCTGTGTTTGTCATGTAACATAATTGTAAGTACTGAAAAATCTCCTAAGTTCTTCCAATCGTCATTTGAGAATTGATTGCCTGTATATGAAATGAAACAAGAGAACTTTTACCAAATTCCCGTAATAAAGATGCTAAAAGTCATGAATTAAATTCCGCTTCGATATTTCCAAAGAACTTTCCGAACTGAGCAGGATAGGAGCTTCTGATATAACGATATACTGGCGGAAGTAATAAAATAAAACGATTTTACATCTCCAGGGGAAACGAACGTTTTTGTCGAATGGAAAATGTCACAAGCGACTTCTCATTCCGCGATAAAATCGGGAACGTTTTACGACAATCTTCCATTCGATACCCGTTAAACAACAATCTTAGAACGAGTTTCTTTTACTTTCTTAATGTTTGTTGGATAGCAATTACTAAACTCGGATATAGCAGCTAAAAAGGCGAAATTGTTTTCGTTGCTAGTACAATTAAACGGCAATTGTAATGAATATACGCATGCAGATCTGATAGAATCTCATGTCGCTGTTGAGACTTTGTATTTCAAATGCACATTGGATTCCTTTCATCCTTTTTTAGTTCAGTAATTAAAATTGACCACTTTTAATTTTATTATAAATAATTCCCCATTTGCAACTTGCTGCGCATTCAATTTAGATATCTACGAATGTTGCAATAAAACATAATGTAATACATACATAATTCATATTATATTAAAGAAACAATAACATGTGTTGTTTAAATTATAACTATTAATATTAGGAAAGAACGGTTTTATTTTCATATTAGATTAGGTACAGAATAAACACGATGAATACGTAATTACTACTAATAACATGTGGAGTGTAAATGGGTGGTGTTTAGAATACCGAGTTGTTAATATCTATTTATCAATTTCCTCATTTGTCATGCGACTTTAGACCTATTGTATATATACATATTAGGCTGAAATGACAAGGGCTTCAGCGTAGAGCATACGCACACTACAACATCAAAACACTCGCAATCGTTGCGCAGTTTAGTAGACCGGAAACAGCGCGCTGATTTTACGACTGAACATTGCGATAACATTCCAACGAGAAATGTAGGTAGGTATGCTAGATTCAGGTAGATTGGATACTTTCCAAAACTCCACTTACAAACATTGCATAATACACACATTGCAACACGAATGAGCAAATTCATCCAAAGTAAAGAACGCTTTCACAAGGTAATAAAGACATGTCTGCCTGCAGTGAAATGAGCATTTCTTGAATGAATTTTATCTTCGGGAATTTGTGTAACGGTTGAATAAATCCGTGCGGATCCTGGCGGGAACTATTAGTGATTTAAAAGGGTTAAATGTATGTTTGTGGTACCGCAGCACGTCTTGCTGTTTGTAATGCTAGGGTACACGGCCTAGAAAAGAGCATAGAGGTGACCGCGAAGGTCCGCTCTGCGTCGCCGCATAATGAACTGGTCACGTAGCCACATTTCGTATTATTTCCCTGGGACGCATAACGTGACTTGAATAAATATAGGCGGTCGGTGCGCAGGCTCCGCGACTCCAGCGTCTACTTGGACCCTCCACAAATAAACCGCTTTACGCACGATTCACCAGCGGAGATTCATTATTTTAACTCTCTTACACTTTTCCTACAACCCCTTACTCAAGGATCCGGCACTATACAATATTTGAAGTGTTTAAGTTTTATAACAACAACAACAACAATGAGTGAGATTGATTGTACACTGACGTATTGTATTGTTGAATTGAAATGTAATTTTTTTTTCAACATACTAACATTTAACACAGAATATTATCTACGCCGTAGCAGTTTGCTACGTCGTAGAATTTTGCTACGTCTGAGAACAGCGCCGTAATAGGACTTACGAAAGTATTAAGCCTACTAGAACAGTACAAAAAACATAGATTCAAGTTAGGCGAGGAGGTATTTCGTTACATAACGAGGTTTAGGTAGAGCTACGCATGTGTTGGGAAGTAATAAAGATATGAGAAGAGGCGCGCGGCTCTCGGCTCGCGGTATTAGACGCTAAGCAGTTTATTATGGGACAGCCTTGTTCATAAATGCCGTTCTCCTATGGATAATGTCGGACAACATGCGACGTTATGTCTATTTCAGACAAAGCCCACAATATAAGAGTCCCCGTCCCTGAATAGTGTATCGCAAAAAATACAATATGTATCATCTGTATCCAACGTAGGTACGGTCTGCAGTACGTTTAACGCTTTGTTATATAATATTAAAATCAATATTGAACATAAGACTGATTACATTAAACGTTACACAAAGGTGAACAGGACAATTAACAGTTTACTGAAATGTGTTCTTTGTATTGCGGTAATTTCAGTTATTATGGTGATTTCTTTAAATTGCAGTATGTATTATAGTATGTATGTATGTATTGCTATTGCAGTAAGTATATCAAAATATTGAAAGTGATGTGTCTAGGTACCTTGGGTTTCCACGTAGTGCGGCGTGGTGAAGGGCGTTGAACCCGTTGTTATTTGTGAGCGTCATGTCAGCGCCATGCTCCAGCAGCAGTGTCAGCATGTCATCGCGCTTCTTTGAAATCGCGTCGTGCAGGGGAGTGTCCCCTTCCGAGTCCTGTAATACAATTTGCGAGTAGTAAGTAAGAAGCAACCTGAACAGTTCTAAAAATTATACAAATTGCTTAGTGGGTCAAACAGCTCTGCAAGAGGAATTTGGTGTCAGCTGCGTTTACATTCCGCTCGTGAATTATTAAAGCATCGCCCGTCTCAAGTATCGCGACAATTTTCTAAAACATCAAACCGCCCGAATGAATAATTGAGGCGGAGGAGAAGGCGTTTAGGGCGTGGATTATGGCGACTTGCATAATTTATAAGCGTCTCAGAGTGGTTAAGGCGAGCAAGGAAAGACGAGCGCTGAGGCTGGTGCACAGTGCTGCCAGCTGCACAGGCGAAATCAGAGAATGGTGTCGAGTTTCGTAATATAGGGCGAGCGGCGCAAAAAGCGCGGTCGCCGCGTCATTATCATAATCACCGCCGCTGCGTGCCGCTACGGTGCCGCCCAAGCCGTTTCGCTTTGTGAGCGTGCATTAAGAGCTGAGCGTTGTGCTCTGTCATTCCGCAATTAATTTGCAAAGGACCACCAGATGAGTGATTCTCATTTCCAAATAACAATAAGGAATGAACGAAATTCGCGCGCTTTGTTCACATTGCCTTTGGCACATTTCTATCTAGCGTAGCGCCAGAATTCTAGCGCACATATTAGACGGGATATTGTAGTCAAAGGTACGTCAACGTGATGACAATGCGTCAGACACCCATTCAGACCGCAGTAATTCAGTGCGAGCTCAGCTACAGACACGGGTAATTCCGCGCAGGATAGAGGCATTAAATATTAATCGTATTGGCATATAGATGGCCATTGTGGCTGTAATTCATGGCACACAGTACAGCTGCGTGAACAATGTATGGTGTTGCTTACTGTTGACAAGGGAGAGTGAGTAAAATACAGATTCTTTAAAAGCAACTACTATATTGCTTCTCAACTGTCGATTGTTCCAATACCTGTGGTGGGTATGTACGTATGACTTTTTTTTACAGAACTTTTACAAAGGCATTGTTCAACTATACTACGTAACATATTGCACTTGCAGACAAACACTCATACTCATATATACACACACTCACGCGTGCACGCACGCACTCGAACACAAGGAAACTGTAATGTTTTTATATATATTAAATAATAAATAATAATAATACACACATAGACGCACGCACCCTTGCACATATTTTGAACAATTCTTTGTAATAATTAAGTTTTATCAAATATCTAAATTACATTTTAGCTTTTAGTTTCATATAATATTTAAATTAGTGTTAAATTAGATTTCCTAGTTGTGCAAAAGCGGAGCCCTCTGACACAAGTATATTTTACTTACTAGAGGACTCCAACATCATTATTGTACCACGTTTGAAATTAAAATAAAGTTATTATTTCAAGTTTTCATTTCTAATAGCAATACTACTCGTTAATATTGAAGGAAAAAATTTTGAATCACCTGCACGTCAAAAAGGTTTACAGCTCTTGGACAGCGCATGAAGTCCAGAATCCGCAATGGTCCAGCGTGGCGGACTATGATCTTAGAGGAGACGTATAGTACAGTATGGGACTTATAGGGTTGACGATGATGATATAAATGTCGATTTTAATACAAAAGTAATAATGATACACTGTTTTGACGGCTTCGGTGGTCGAGTGGCTTGCACACATGTTTTCATGGTATCGCCATTTCTGAGGTCACGGGTTTGATCCCCGGCAGGCTCAGTGTCGAAAAGCTAACTTTTCCTTATTGTCTCGGGTGTGGGTGTTTGTGATATCGTCGTTGTTTCCGATTTATATAACACAAGTACTTTAGCTACTTACTTTGGGATCTAACATTTAAAAATGCACATACAAAACTTTGGTAATGTTGACAATGCTCTCTAAGTATACTCACATAAGTAAACGCGAGACGATGGCGTGGAGGCGGGGCGGTGTGGCAGCAGTAAGTGTTGAGGTGAAATAAGAAATGTGATTTACGCGGCAATATCCGCAGGTGCACATGAGCTGCACGCCCCGCGCTCCAGTGCCACCTCCGCTCCACGCGACATATATCTTTACGAATATTATAACAGCCCACTTGACAGTCTCGTAACACACTCGACAAGAAATTTTAATTTAACTCATAACACGCGCGAACCCCAATCAGCAGGTTTATGGCATCGTAAAATTTCCTTCGCGATAACGTGACCTCCCTTGCCGAAGAACATGATACTCAAGTTTTCCATTTATTTTAAATGCAAAGTCTGAAAGTTATATTATCGATAAGTCACACTTCACTGAATTTTACTACTCAACATTGGAAAAATTTGAATGAATACAATGTAAGTCAACGTTAAATGTTTCGATTTAACGTTGACTTACATTTATCCCTAAAATGAGTAGGTTCTAAGGAATTTTTAAGTGCTACGAAGTGAAGGAAAATCATGACGATATCATGCTGTAGTAATCATATAATAAAACAACAACCGGCTCTCCAGGCAGACAATAACAACACAAAACAACAAGGTAATTACTCAAAGATAAGAACAACGCGTCGAGCACGAAAAGTGAGCGACCCTTGCGCGGCGGGCGGGTGGCGCGCGGAGGTACAGGGATCGTGGGGCTACGAGAGCCTTCATTTCTGAGATCGTATCACTTCATAATATTTCCTACTATATACGTATTATCTTACTATATAGTGCTTAATTAAATATCTGGACAAACTGTGTAAATCTTCAGTTCAACAATTAGTACAGTATATGTGACCTAAGAACAACAATATCCCTTTTCAATAACAAGTAAAAAAACAATCAATCAATTTATTTATTTGTCAGAATAAGGTGCATTACAATCTTTTTTTAAATAAATCCAGCTTATTCTACGAGTTGGCATGCAAATGTATATGTCATTCGACTATTTAGTATAATTACAATCAAACACTCGTTTATGTGTGTGCAAAAAAAAATGTGAAGGAGCGATATGACTCGCACGATAACCTTTCAAGCGCTTTCACCTCAGTACTGTAAATGTAAATGCCGAAATAACCATGCCACTACAGTACCGGCACGCTATGACGGCCGTTTTGACAGATTACAATGGTGATGTGAAATCTCAATTCATTATCGAAAAAATATAATCAAATGCGAATCGCATCAATAAGTTTTTAGTTATAACTAGTATTGCAATGGGTAGCTGATAAAAAAATTTTAAATAAACGAAAATAAAAATATTTGCGTAATATATCGTCAATTCGAAACTGCTTTGTTTTCCATTGAGCTTTGACGTGAGTTTGCCGGCGGTAGAAGTTGTGTTGGACAGCGATTCTATAAGTGATCGTATTAGATTTCATTTAAAAATATTTCGAATTTAGAAAGTCAAATGCCGTTGTGTCGTAAAATTATAAATCCATAAATCATTGCACGTCACTATTGACAATAATGTACATCAATTAGCTCCTTCAACGTAGTCATGAATTAATACGAAATTTGATGAGCGGACAAACGTTAAAACGGCCATCATAGCGTGCTGGTACTATGTGTATACATGTAAAAACATGTCACATATAGGCAGTGTAATTTGCCGATTTATGATATAAACTCAGACCATCATAGCGATTTCGTTCCGCTGGTTTAGTAGCCACTGCTGCTAGACGGCACGGGCTGATGTCAGATATCCACCGGCTTGAAAGCACCTAACGTTAAAAATTCGTTAGCCCTGATTAAAATGCCAACTCGTCGCTTTATTGTGGACGAACAAAAGGCGAAAGTTTATCAGCAGATTTTACGCCGCCTCTTAAACGCGAGTCGCTTTAAACAAAACAAACAATACTCATCACCTGCAAAGTTGGAAAGTAAGCCACGAGGTGAGACGCAACGGTATTTACTATTGGATTTTGAATTTTTTATGCGTAATGTACATGCAGTATTTTGACCTCGGAACGAAAAAGGCACAACTAACATTTTTATCAAAATTGAGTTACTTACATATTCGAAATCAGGAAAAAATCAATCCCACAATTTTTTTTGTAGAAATATATCTCAATAATTGTTGAATATACAGCAAGCTCAAAAGGCACAACATCAATAACCAGAGTTTATACTATAAAAAGTCATATTGACGTTTGTTTTGCTAAAAATTTTAATATCAAAGGATTTTACTTAATAATGTACGGAACCATGCCCTCATTATGTAGTTCCATGACAATAACACAAAAAAGACACAACTGAATACAATTGCGCCCTTTAGTTCTTTTCATGAGTCAAGTATTAAAAGTCACATTTAAATTAGTTATGCCCTTTTTATGCAGTAATAGAAAAGAAATAGACTCTTCTACCAAGTTAAAACAGAAAATTAAGGTATGTACAGTATGTATTTTATTCAGCCATTCTGAAAGGCTGTAGAAAATACAACGAACGTTTCTGTATAAAACATGCGGTATGTATTTATTATAACATATTTATATATTTATATATGTTATAACACAAATAAATTAGTTAATATCCCTGTCGGACCGGCTTCGAAACTACTTGGAATTTCTCCGAAAAAAACTTGTATCTACCTGAACTTGACCGGTAGATGACGAATCTGAGGTCAATTATCCATTTTCCGGCTGCCATCTTGGAAAAATTTTGGCCTGCACAATTGTATCAACTTCGACCCTTTATAACAGGCGCACAATTGTGTGGGAACACGATTGTATTTAGATGGGCCTTTAATATGTATTTGAGTAAAATACAACAATAATAATTTTGTTATAATTATTATTTATTTGGTGAATAAAATCTTAAGATCATTTCATAAATGCAAAATTAATTAGTTAGTTAAAAAAATAATTGTAATAGTACTTTTTATCATAATAAGTCTCACCGTGTCGTCTGGTGTAAAATATTTCACAAAATATTGAGCGGGTATTTCTACCGAATTCACATTAGGGAAAGAATCCCCTGGCATCGATGCTTCTTCTTCTTCCATCGGTGCGTAATTAGAGATACGTCATCAACAGACTAGTCTTCTGATTTTGAGGATGAGCACCC